GCTGAAGGAGGAAGCTGAGCCGGGCTCTGGAAGATTACACAGGCCGGTAAGATAGAAATGGCTTGTAAACTGGACATAGCAGTGTACATCTAAAGGAAGAAATGCAGCTAATCTGCTGTAATGCATTTACAGTGCATGTGATGAATAAAATACGCCTGGTGCAGCCATGCTACAGATTTCCATCTGCAGTTGAAGCAGCTCCAGCCTAAACACGGAGGGTGGTTCTGAACCAGAACCATTTCTGCTTGTGATAAACACATAAATGTATTGGCTTTCACAAATCATAAGATGTGGCTATGTGGATATAACTGTGTGAGTTCACAATAACAGAAACAAAGCTCACTAAAGACACAAGATTAGACAACAAGTTGAAAATGGCCAGAACTCTTGAGCAACACAGAATCACATAGCAAAAGAATTTATAAAGGTAAAAGAAAAGGGGGGGGGGGATGTTGATATAAGAAAAGCTAGTGCCTGGAAAACAGAGTTAAAGTACTTTTAAAGCTTAATTTAGGTTGAAGAAATAGAACAATGTTTGTGTTGTAAGTCTGTGGAATTTAGTGGCCCCACTAAACATGGGTAAATTGTTTCACACCAGTCTTCTAAAGTTCCTTTAGCTTTAAAGAACAGTGTTTGTGTTGTAAGTCTGTGGTGAGATAACAGGATTTAGTGGTCCCAGTAAACATGAATGAGTTATTTCACACCATCCTTCTACTTATCAGTTAGATACAGAGCCTCCCAAACATCTGCTAGCTTGGGATATTCCTTGTCTGCCCATCCTGCAATAAATTTTGCAGGAAGGTCACACTGTTCTAAACCTTTGCTAGTTATCAGAAGAATTACAGATATAGCTAGTTTCAGCTAGTTCTGTGATTACTGGGGTGTCCAACTGTGCCAAAGTTGAAAAGTACACCGCGAGGAAGACTGCTTACTTCATCTTGAAGACCCCTACTTGAAGAGCAGTTAACAGAGAGTTTGTGGGTCAGGGTTAAAGGGAAAACAGCAATGGGAGACATTAGTGTGGGGATCTGTTACAGACTGCCTGATCAAGGAGAGCCTGCGGATGAAGCACTCTATAGGCAGGTAGGAAAAGCCTCATGCTCACAGGCCCTCGTTCTCATGGGTGACTTCAAGCACCCTGACATCTGTTGGAATGACGGTACGGCCCGGCACAAGCAATCCAGGAGGTTCCTCGATTGTGTGGAAGACAACTTCCTTCTGCAAGTAATAGAGGAACCGACAAGGAGAAGTGCCATGCTTGACCTCATGCTAACCAACAGGGAAGGGCTCGTTGGAAATGTGGCACTCCAGGGCACCCTTGAATGCAGCGACCACGAGATGGTTGAATTTGAGATCCTCAGGACAGTTAGAAGAGCGTGCAGCAAGTTCACTGCCCTAGACTTCAAGAGAGCAGACTTTGGCCTCTTCAGGAACTTGCTTAGTAAGGTTCCATGGGATATAGCCCTATAGGGCAGAGGGGCCCAAGACTCTTGGTTGATCTTCAAGGATCACCTGCTACAAGCTCAGGAGTGTTGCATCCCAACTAGAAGGAAGTGCAGCAGGAGGGCCAGGAGACCTTGGGTAGATAAGGAGCTGCTGAGGAAAATTCAAATGAAAAAAGAGTCCTATAGAAAGTGGAAGCAAGGACAGGTGGCCTGGGAAGAGTACAGGGATGTTGTCCAGGAAGCTAGGGACTAGGTTAGGAAAGCTAAGGCCCAGTTAGAACTAAACATGGCTAGGGATATTAAGGATAACAGGAAGGGATTCTACAGGGACATAGCAAATAAAAAACAGACTAGGGAGAATGTAGGCCCCCTCAGGAAGCTCTCGGGTGAACTAGCTACACAGGATTTGGAGAAGGCTGAGGTTCTGAACGACTTATTTGCCTCGGTCTTCACTGGCAAAGGCTCTGACCGCACCACCCAGGTCTTGGAAGGCAGACGCAGGGACTGTGAGAATGAAGACCTTAGGCCCACCGTAGGAGAGGAACTGGTTCGAGACCATCTTAAAAATCTGAATGTGCACAAGTCCATGGGTCCTGATGAAATCCATCCGCGGGTCCTCAAGGAGCTGGCAAATGAAGTTGCTAAGCCGCTGGCCATCATATATGAAAAATCATGGCAGTCAGGTGAAGTTCCTGATGACTGGAAAAAGGGAAATATAACCCCCATTTTCAAGAAGGGGAAAATGGATGACTCGGGGAATTACAGACCAGTCAGTCTCACCTCTGTGCCTGGCAAAATCTTTGAGCAGATTCTCCTGGAAGGCATGCTAAGGCACATGAAAGTCAACAAGGTGCTTGGTGACAGCCAGCATGGCTTCACTAAGGGGAAATCCTGCCTGACCATTTTGGTGGCCTTCTATGATGGGGCCACAGAACTGATGGACAGTGGTAGAGCAGTTGATGTCATCTACCTGGATTTGTGTAAAGCGTTCGACACTGTCCCACACGACATTCTTTTCTCTAAATTGGAGAGACATCAATTTGATGAATGCACCAATCGGTGGATAAAGAACTGACTGGATGGCCGCACACAAAGAGTTGTTGTCAATGGCTCAATGTCCAGCTGGAGACCAGTAATGAGTGGTGTCCCTCAGGGATTGGTGTTGGGACCGGTCTTGTTTAACATCTTTGTCGGTGACATGGACAGTGGGATTGAGTGCTCCCTCAGCAAGTTTGTCGATGACACCAAACTGTACGGTTTGGTTGATACGCTAGAGGGAAGGAATGCCATCCAGAGGGACCATGACACGCTTGTGAGGTGGGCTGATGCCAACCTCACGAAGTTTAGCCATGCCAAATGCAAGGTCCTACAATTGGGTTGGAGCAATCCCAGGGACAGCTACAGGCTGGGCAGAGAAGAGATTCAGAGCAGCCCTGCAGAGAAGGACTTGGGGGTGCTAGTCAATGAGAAAATGAACATGAGCCAGCAGTGTGCACTTGCAGCCCAGAAAGCCAACCGTATCCTGGGCTGCATCAAAAGGAGCGTGACCAGCAGGTCAAAGGAGGTGATCCTGCCCCTTTATTCTGCTCTCGTGAGACCTCACTTGGAGTATTGTGTACAGTTCTGGTGTCCTCAACATAAAAAGGACATGGAACTGTTGGAACAAGTCCAGAGGAGGGCCACGAGAATGATCACGGGACTGGAGCACCTCCCATATGAAGATCGGCTGAGGACGTTGGGGCTGTTCAACCTGGAGAAGAGAAGGCTGTGTGGAGACCTCATAGCAGCCTCCCAGTACCTGAAGGGGGCCTATAGGGATGCTGGGGATGGACTTTTCATTAGGGACTGTAGTGATAGGACAAGGGGTAATGGGTTAAAACTTAAACAGGGGACGTTTAGATTGGATATAAGGAGGAAATTCTTTCCTGTTAGGGTGGTGAGGCACTGGAATAGGTTGCCCAGGGAGGTTGTGAATGCTCCATTCCTGGCGGTGTTCAAGGCCAGGTTGAACGAGGCCTTGGGTGATATGGTTTAGTGCAAGGTGTCCCTGCCCATGGCAGGGGGGTTGGAACTTGATGATCTTAAGGTCCTTTCCAACCCTAACTATTCTATGGTTCTATGATTCTACTCACAAGAGGAAGACTGCTTACTTCATCCTCAAGACCCCTGCCCACAATCACCTGATACCAAAAGGGGACTTATAAGTTCCTGGAGCTAGTTATAATATTCCCTGCCTATATGCAGGAATTATGAATATGTATATGGCTAATGCAGTATTAAAAGTATATCAACCTGTAACAAATGCTAATCAGTGCACCTCTGGCTACGGTCATGTGCTTTTGCTTTATTGAATTTGTCCCTCAATGAAACTTTGCTATCTTGTTTACAGGAGTTCCTATTTCACCTGCTCGTTTCAGAGAGTATTTGATAATTGCTGAGCAATATTCAAGTTAATTAAAGCTTAATGAAAAGCATACTCTGATGCAGCCAGTTCAAGGAGGTAGCGCACTGTTTTAGTGAAGTACACTTCAATCCAGACTTCCCGTAATCTGGTACTCATTTTTAATTAGTAACTTACATTAAAAGCAATGATCCTACCATCCTGCCAGAGACTGAGCCTGACCTATGTTGATGTGTGATTTTGATTTAGCTTCTGGGCAGGAGCTTTTACACCTTCATAATTTTATCTGCAGCACTTAGTGTTCCTCTGAAAGTCTACACAGTGGAAATGCAGCTGATGAAACCAAGAATGGGACAAGTAAACCTGACAGAAACTAAGAGTTAAAGAAAAAAAGTGAGACAGGGGGCACAAAATCACAAAATGGAATATATAAACCTTTAGAATTAGTTTTAAGTAGTGTTAAGTTTGATGGCTTTGAAACAGTAGCAATGGAAAACTACTAAGGTGCATTTTACATAGAAATAAAAAATAGAGTGCAGCTAGAGAACATACTGAGAATTCTTGTACAAGATAAATCGTTTTAGCTGACATAGTTTTAAGAAAAACAGTCTAGAAGTACAGGACACAGGGATAAGGAGTATCTGGGAATTGCAGGTGTCCAGGAGGACAGGAGGATTATTATGTCTCTGGTGCTAAGGAACCAATTAAGGTGGTACGACCACCTACTGTGTGTGCTTCAAAGCCTGCCAGAAGTGATGAAATTTGTTGGAAGAAGTAAACGACCCTCAGAGTCTACCACCACAATTCCGGACGCATGCGAGGAACTTTCTGGAAAATTATGTAATCCATATGTAGCCTCATGCATCCATGGCAGTGTTCAAGGCCAGGTTGGACGAGGCCTTGGGTGATATGGTTTAGAGCGAGGTGTCCCTGACATGGCAGGGGGGTTGGAACCTGATGATCTTAAGGTCCTTTCCAACCCTAACTATTCTATAATTCTATGTATGTATGCCCAGTGGCTATATAAGGATGGCTTGTGTAGCAATACGGGGACACATGTTAGGAGGAGCTATCCCCTGTGTCTCCCAGCAGCGCAATAAAGAATACCTTGAGGGACCCCTTGACTCATTTGGATCGCTGTGGGAGCAGACAAGGACCATCTTCATAAAAGGTATTCTTTCCTTTTGTATAGTTTGTAAGGTGCAGGGGGCATCTTGCATAAAGACTAAAATGGTAATTGGGTTGGTTTGGTAAGCGTACGCAAGGTTTGGAAGCCTTCTGTAAATCAATATAGGAAATCTCATATGTAAAGGCATATACCCGGCTGCTGGCGTCCGTTTGGTATACATCCACAAGAAGCCGGGGGCTTCTTGTGGTTTGGGTCCTTCAAGATGCAGTGGGCGTCTTGCAGAAATGGTTTTGGATTTTACTGGTATACACCCCCAAGAAGCAGGGGGCTTCTTGTGGTTTGGGTCCTGCGAGATGCAGGGGGTGTCTTGTGGGAATGGTTTTGGATCTTGTTGGTATTTGATTTATTTTGTGGCTTGTTACATTAAGGGGTTTCGTCTTGTGATTTTGGTATCAGTGACAGACTTATAACTAAGCAGGGGGCATCTTGTGGTTTGGGTCCTGTAAGACGCAGGGGGTGTCTTGTGGAAATGGTTTTGGGTCCAGTGTGCTATCAACAGCCCATAAGTGATTTGATTCAGTGATGCGGTCAGCGTGGGTCCCTGAATAGGTTAGTAGAATCACCCTCCGATACAGTGGGCTGTCCAGTATGGTTCCCACAGTGGGATGCAGACAGGCTAATCGGACACAAGGTCTCGTCCTTGGGACACTGACAGGCTGGTCAACTATAAGGGGTTCAAGGAAACCCCTGTATTAATGTTACAATATGGTCTGAGCCATAAAAGGTTAGGAAGTATTGCTTTTGATTCTTCTGGTATTTGTCTTATTTTGTGGCTTGTTACAGTAATGATTTTGGTCTTGTGATTTTGGCACAGGTGACAGGATGTTAGAAATGTGTTATTAACTGTTTTTTGTTTGGTTGAATTTTAATCTCTGTTTCAAGTGTTGCAACTGTGTGGAGTGTGTCTGGGGGATCCCGTCTGTGTGTGTGTATGTGAATGTGAGATTGATAATGGAAAATCAGCAGAGTGAAGAGATCTTGAAAAAGAGTCCTTTGGGGTGCATTTTGGCACACTGGAAAAAACTTGGAGGGTCTCCTGGGGGCTTGGTAAATAAGAAAACATTGGTAAAATATTGTAACCAGTGGTGGCCTTTGTATACTTTGGAAGATCAGGAAAAATGGTCTAAAAATGGAACTCTGAACTATAATACATTGCTACAATTAAAGTTGTTTTGAGGGGGCAAGGAAAATGGGATGAAGTAATGTATGCAGATATGTTTTTTACTTTAAGAAATCACGAGGAGTGACAGACTGAATGCAAAATTAATATAGCTCTGCAAGATCCCTTAATTTTGGCTTTGGAAAAGGACAGGGAAAAACTGAAAGTTAAGATGGAGAGATGTTTTTCAGCCTGTGATATTGGGGAAAGACGTTTAAAGTTAAAAAAACAGTAATCAGGAAGATAGGGTGGAAAATTATGTATCACAAGTACCTCCGAGAGGAGCACCCTCTGCATCTGTCCTATCTGACACTGATAAGGAGGAAGAGATTTCTGTCACTGGCAACAAGCAGCACATTCACATTCAGAGTTAAGAAGGGGTTAAAACAGAAGTGCTGTTGCAGAGGCAGGCATCTGCAGCCCCTGCAGAGCTAGGTGAGCAGCTGTGATAAAAAAAAAAAAGAAAAGGAAAACTAAGGGGGAAAGGAGGGGAGCTGCGCAGGGGCAGAGGTGGGGGAGTGGGCTCTTCCTCTGTGGAACTGGATCGGTGTGCGTGCTATGGGGAGTTTGGAGGTTGGAAGTGAGACTACCCTGAGAGGGGAGAGTGCCATGGTGTGGCTTCGGTGACTGAACTGGAACTAGACTGACAGGGACCTGGAGAATCTACCTTAGCAGATCCACTGGTTAAATTAAATCTAGGGACTAGAGGAAATAAATTGGAATTTTTAGTGGATACAGGAGCAACTTATTTGGTGTTAAATCAGAGAGGAAAGAATTTGTTACAGATGTGGGAGCTACAGGCAGCCAAGGAAAAGAGAGGAAAAAAAAAAAAAAGGCATTCTTTCTGAAACCCTTAAAGTACAAATTGGGAAAAGTAATAGGAATGCATAGATTTTTATGCATGCCAGATTCTCTAAAGCATTTAGTAGGGTGAGAGGCAACATTTAAAGAAGGCAAAATGGAATTTAGAGTTAAAAACAATCAATTAATTGCAGTTTTGAGTTTACCTTTAATTCAGCAGAAAAGCAAACAGGAGGACCTCCCTGAAATAGAAGAAAACCTTTCTCAGGTATATCTGGGAGTATGGGCATCTGAAGTTCCAGGTAAGGTGAAAAATGCTTTGCCTGTTAAAGTGGAAATAAAAAGGGGGGGGCTTGCCCAATTAGAATAAGACAATATCCCTTAAAATTAGAAGATCAAAGGGAATAAAAAAATCATTGATAAATTTTAAAATATAGATTATTAATTGAATGTGAATTGGAATATAATACTCCTATCTGGACAGTAAAGAAATATGATGGTAAAAGTTCCAGATTGGTTCACGATCTCAGAGCAATCAACAAAATTGCAGAGGATATTCATCCAGTAGTAGCTAATTCATATGACTTATTGACTAAATTGAATAATAAACAGAAAGGGTTTTTGATTACCATTGGCCAAAGAAAGACAAAGTTATTTCGTTTTGAATGCGAAAATCCTGATACAGGAAGGGAAACTCAGCTTGGACAGTATTACCTAAAGGGTTTAAAAACAGTCCAGCAATTTTTGGAAATCAGTTAGCAGTGGAACTAGAATCATGGAAGCCACCTACTCGGACGGGACTCTGTTACAATATGTGTATGACCTATTAATTGCTACAGAAAGAAAGAATGTATCCAGTGGATGGTGGAATTATTAAATTTTCTGGGACTGAATGGTTATCGGATATCCAAACAGAAGGCCCAACTAATCCAAACCTGAGTTTCCTACCTAGGATATGAAATAGGAGGACAGAGAGAACTTGGAGCTGCTAGAAAAGAAGCCATCTGTCAGACTCCACGATTGTTGACCATGAAGGAGCTCCAGACGTTCCTGGGAATGACTGGATGGTGCAGACTTTGGATCCATGATTATGGTGTTCTGGTAAGACCACTATATGAACTGTTGAAAGGAAACCCTCCGTCTTTAAAATGGACTGATACAGCAGAGGGGGGTTTTAGAAATTTAAAAAAAGAGCTAATGAGAGCTGCAGGTCTGTTACTTTCAGATGTGACTAAATCATTTTGGCTATATTCCTATGAAGATCAAGGAATAGCTTTGGGTGTCCTTGCTGAGAAACTAGAACCCTACAGAAGAGCAGTGGCATATTTTTCAAAACAGCTGGATGAAGGGAGCAAAGGATGGCCCTTATTACTAAGGGCTGTGGCAGCAGTCGTCATGAATATTGAAGAGGCTCGCAAATTCACCTTCGGACAAAAGATTACTGTAATAGTGTCCCATGTGGTATCAACAGTCCTGCAGCAGAAAGGATCCCACTGGTTATCTCCTTCACGTTTCTTAAAATACCAGTCCACCCTTGTGGAACAAGATGATATAGAAATTGTGGTCACTAACGTTGTGAATCCAGTATCCTTTTTGCAGGAATGATTGACAGAACCACTAACACACGACTGACTGACCACCATAGAGACTGTATATTCTAGCTGACCGGACTTGAAAGAAAAACTTCTGGAAGATGCTGATTCTTGGTTTACTGATGGTATCAGCTTCATGAATAATGGTGAACAAAAGGCAGGATATGCCATTACCGCTATTTCACAGGTAATAGAAGCTAAACCTTTACCTGCAAACACCTCTGCCCAGAAGGCAGAAATAATAGTGTTAACGATAGCCCTGGAATTGGCTAAAGATAAAAGGACAAATATTTGGACTGATTCTAAATACATATTTGGTGTAGTCCATGCACATGGTGCTACCTGGAAAGAACAAGAATGTTTGAACACACAAGGGAAACAGATTAAACATGCTACAGAAATTCTACAGTTACTGGAAGCTGTTCAGCTACCTGAAGAAATAGCTATTATGTACTGTAAAGCACATCAACAAGGTGACTGATCAGGAAATTGGAAATAATTTGTCCGATTTTGAAGCCAAATGAGCAGCTGAACAATTTCAAATCATGTCCTTAATCCCTGATGGCAAACTAACAATTGAAAAATCTAAACCTAGGTATTCAAAAGAGGATAAAATATTAACTGAAGATCTAAAAGGAAAGGAAAATAAAAAGGGTGGGCTCAAATACCTGATGGGCGAATTGTAATTCCCTATTACCATCTCTGGAAGTTAGTTCAGGAAGAACATAATAAAACTCATTGGGGTAGCAACTCTTTGCATAAATATTTAGACAAACAAAGAGCTCTGTAAAACTGTGTAAATATAAAAAAGCGCTGTAAGGATGTAAAGAGCTCAGTAAAACTGTGTAAATATAAAAGCGCTGCAAGTGTAAATATAAAAAGTGCTGCAAAGAGCTCTGTAAAGCTGTGTGATTTGCGAAGAATAGCAAGCTGTGTAAGAATATAAGAAGCAGTGTAATTGTGAGGAATATAAAAATGGATGTGGAAAGACAGGTAGCCTATGATTTATTTAAATGCTTCTTAGAGAAGCGAGGTATAGGGAAAGAAATAGACTTAGGGAAAAAGTTCACCGCCCTTCTCAATTATGCACCGCATAAGCCTCCTCGGCATAAGGGGGAAGATAAAGTGAAACAGTGCTTGCGTCCGAAAGTACAAGTAGAAAGTGCAAACGTGGTCACCTTTGACCTAGAGGAAGAAAACCCCGAATTGGAATTGGAACCAGACCCAGAGTCTCCGGCAGAACGGGACTTGTACCCTTCCGTTCCTGATTCCGACTCAGACGGTTCAGACAGTTCGGCTCATCGGCAGATGCGAACCAGCCTCAGTGACAGTCAACTTCGACAGCTGCTGAAGAAATTAAAGTATTGGAGGCAAAAGAAACCTCTGAACCCTCTGCCCCACCCTCCTACAATCCAGTAGTAAAGAAAGGGGAGTGGGAGGGGGGTGTTGGGCATGGGGTAGGGGATTATGGTAATAACCCCGCTAAATGTTGTGATGGGATGATCAAAGATGCAACTGTTATGGGGGAATTTTCTGCTATGGGTCCTTCAGCATTCCCGGTGTTTAACACTCCACAGGGGGGAAAGAAGTGGGAGGCATTGGATTTAAAGGCAGTAAAGGAGGCGCGTCAACCGGTAACATCCTACGGGTTAAAATCATTGTATACTCGGGCAATTACTGCACATATTTTTTCTGCATATATCTTAGCACCATATGATATCCGTATGATAGCTCAATTGTTGCTTACTCCCCACCTTCAGATGTGATTTAAAGTGAGCACAGCAGAGGAAAAGGCTGGATACAAGGCTACTGCCTTTGCTGCTGCTGTTAAACCCCTTTTACAATAAGGTTAGAGCGATCACGGGGGGACTAAAGGTATGAGATGTTATAATTGTGGAAGGACGGGACATTGTAAAAAGAAACAGTGTCCTGTAAAGAAAATTAGTTCAGCAGCCTGCCACCCCCCCCTTGTCAGTGATTGAATGAATTGAAATTTGATCTTAGGACATCCGTTTTATGGATGTTTTCAGTCCTTCTTAAGGGGAAGGCAGCAACGTTTTTTACGTTAAAGTAAAAGTTCTGCATCAAGACCTGCAGTGGAAAGGTCTGTGATGGACTGTGGACTTATGACCCCATATACAACTCAATACATTCTCTCTGTGATACTCATGTACTAGAAGCTGGTAAAAATAAGTATGTCCAGGTTTCTATCGACATTTGGAGACCTTTATAAATACTGCTGGCCACTTCTTCCAACAGAGGCTGGCCACCTGTGTTGGAATGAGTGTGCATTTCAGTCAGTATAAAAGCCCAAGCCTCATGCGATGTGAGGGAGGCAGAGCCTCTGCAGGGACGCCTGCTAAGGTTGGGCCTGCCACCTCACACTGCGATGATGCTTCTTGGAGCTGGTTTTCTTGTTAGTCTCCACAGGGTCCTTGTGCCAGGTGCTGTACGTGGGATTGTGTAGTGAAAATAATGATTGCCTGGATTTTGTGCTCCAAATATTGTAGTTGTGTGGAGTGTCCTTGTGGGATCCCATATGTGTGTGTGTGTGTGTGTGTGTGTGTGTTAAGGGCAGACAGTGTTCTGTGTACTTTTTGTTGTTGGGTTCATTTAAAAGTTTCTAATAGATAGTAGTTTACCATTTCAGACAAGAAAGGGTTAATGCAAAAGTGCGGTTGCCGGCAGATATTTATGGTTGCTGCTGAAGCAGGCAGGCAGCTGTACCTGCTGCTGAACAGGCAGGTGTTCGTAGCCGTGCAAAGCAGGGTGAGCAACTTAAAAAAAAAAAAAAAAAAAAAGGTTATTTGATAAGAGTTTAGTCCCCATGTTCAAAAACAGCTGCCCTCCGATTCGGCTCCCGGTGCTCCACCGGTGGAAGGACCAGGATGGACACCAGAGCCGAGGAGAGAAAACAAAACAAAACAAAACCCAAGCTTAATATGTTTAAAGTAACCTGGGGATGAATCCAAGACTTGGAGGAACAGATAGATTGGTTGAAACAAGAACTGCTAACTGAAAAAGCGAGAGGGGTAGTGCAACCACAAGCCTTACGAGCCGTCACCTAAGCAGCATCAGGGTGGCAGATACAGAACCTATCTACTTCTCAAGAACTGATAACCTGGAGGAGGGGGTATATTTGTGTCCTCCTGCCTACAGGTCCATGGCGACTGCCTGCAAAGTTTGTCAAGCCTTGCCATGAGCTGGACAGACAAATGGAGGAACCTGATGCCTCAGCTGCAGGAGCTGAATGTGAATACCCCAAGAGAATGAGATAGAGGAAGAGAAAAACCAATGATTGCTAAACATCATTTGGGGGCAACTGAAAAGTAACAGCTTGAATATGTGTGTTTGTAAAGTAGCTATTGTTAGAGGCTTTGATTTTGTGTATGAAACCACCTGTATTTACTAGCCAGTTGCTGATAAGAAACTACACCTTGTATTATATGGATTTGTCACTTGTAAAAGAGATGTTAGAGTATGCAAATTTGTAGTAGCTGCTAGAAAATGCTAAAGCAAAAGATAGAAATATTCTAATACAATGGTAGTGTTATAAAGCAGGTAATGGAACAAATTAAGAGGGTGGGAGAATTCCACTGGTAAGAAATTTCTTTGGCTAGTCCCTTGCTGGCATCAGCATCTTCAACATGCTGCTGCACCCTGTAATAGTTACTCTGCTAATGTAAATCTGTGTGTGTGCCTTGCCATAATAACAACTTGTTA